GGACGAGTTTAATTATACTCTAGACTAGGGAAACCGGAAATTGCCACTCAAAAATCAAATCGGTTTTGTTTTGTCTCGACTGCGACCAGTGACCTCAGAAGTTTCTGGAAAACAGCTACTCTGTGATAGTTGGGTGTGTGTGTGTGTGTGGGGGGGGGATTTAGGGAATTTAGTCCGAGTGTAGGGTAGCAAAATTCACTTGCACTAGCTCTGGTATAGACTAAGGGTTTCAGGGTCCTTGCGGCACATCCGCCACGCAAAAAGTCCAAAATTACACCCCCGGGGATTTTCTCCCGCCTGCTCTCCCGATTTTTATCAGCTTCTCCCAATTTATCACGAAATTCTAAAAACAGGGGAAAAATCTTAAGTATTTTTTGCAATCTGAGTGTAAAACGTTAGGTACCGTAAAATTCCGAAAACAAGCCCCTCCAAATATAAGCCCACCAAACTCGTAACGAAAAAAACTCTCCGTTAAATCGACTTCCAAATGTAAGCCCCTGGGGCTTGTATTTGGAATGCAAGGAAAAATACAATGAAAAATGCAATGAAAAACAATGCAATAACGGTACAGTAACATAAAATTTTTGTATTTACCAAAGAATCGTGATTACGTATGCGAAATGATTGTAGTCAGAAAGTATCACAGTTTATTGCTGTTTGCGTAGTTCACACTTCACTCTTGGTTTGGAATTCCTCGGTCCGTAAAGACAAAGTTCTTGCAATGGCTGCGTTTTAAAAAGGTCTACGTCCTCAAGGCGAGTTTCAGTAAAACGTTTCTGCAAATTGCTGACATAGGCCAGTAGTCTTACCCCATTTAGCAGCTGCGCTTAGTTTGCAAAATCTCCTAAGGGCATACCCTCAAACCCCCTAGAGGCTCGAGCCTTCGGCGCTAAAGCATACTCCCTATTTTCCTTCAAGGGTTTGGAATCCCTGCGTTTTTATACTTGAGGAGCCACCCTCGTCCCCAAGGCGTTTTTTCCCTCCAAAGCCAGGTAAAACCGCCCAGGGGATGAGGTTGTTGAGGAGTGAGTATACTTGAGAATATACTTGAGTAGCAGTTTGTCCTCATATTTTTGCCTTACTGACGTATTGGTTTGTGATATGATGAAAAATCTTACACAAAAATCATCCTGTGTACTGACTTAATTGAAGAGACGAAAACCAAAACCCGTAAAAATGTTTACGGTCCAATGTCTCAGTAGCCTGCATCGCAGACGTAATCTAACGCCGGTTAGTAACGTCTGCGAAGCAGCGCTGACATTGTTGTTCTGGGTCCCCAAAGGACTCAGTGAACTACAGGAAATGTTTTGTATTTCCCTTCAACCTGATTGGCAAATCGACAATGGCTTTTTAACAGGCCATTCATGGCGCGTTCTCAAATCCTTGTACACAGGTGGGCGCCCAGAATAAGGATTTTTGCGCTGTTTCGCACACGGACTCAAACACAAGTTAATTTCCTCCTGTGGCGACTAGCGAGAGCAAAATTCCATCCTTCTGTAAACCCACGCCGTGCTCTTTCAGTTAAAATGCCTTTTTTAAACTCGTGCATAAATAGTATCTTTTTACTAGTGTTTTAAAAACAGTCTTCTGTGCAACTCTCTTCAAAACAACAGGGGAAAGGTCGGATGGAGAAATTAAACCGGACTAAAAGTACGTGAATAGAATACGGTCGCCATGTGCTGCTTTAAGGTTCGAGCGCACCGATTCACTGATGTTATTACCAGACAAATTCAACGCTGTCAGAGTTGTGTTTGTTTTAAGCACTGTGGCAAATGACTCAGCACCAGGAAGACCAATGTCATTGTTAAACAAATTCAAATCTGTCAGAGTTATGTTCGTTTTAAGCGCCGCAGCGAGTGTCTCAGCATCAGCGGGACCGAGATAATTACGCGACAAATCCAAGTTTGTCAGACTTGTGTTTGTTTTAAGCGCTGCGGCAAGTGGTTCAGCATCCCCAGGACCAAGATCATTTCCACGCAAATTCAACTTTTTTAGAGTTGTGTTTGTTTTAAGCGCTGTAGCAAGTGACTCAGCACCAGAAGGACCAATGTCATTGTTTAACAAATTCAGGTCTGTGAGAGTTGTGTTTGTTTTAAGTGTGGCAGCCAGTGACTCAGCATCAGCAGGGCCAAGGTAATTGCGAGACAAATCCAACTTTGCCAGAGTTTTGTTTATTTCAAGCGCTGCAGCAAGGGACTTAGCACCACCAGGCCCAAGTTTGTTGTAATACAAATCCAAATCTGTCAGAGTTACGTTTGTTTTAAGCGCTGTAGCAAGTGACTCAGCACCAGCAGAACCAAGGGCATTGTTTAACAAACTCAGATAAGTCAAAGTTGCGTTTGTTTCAAGCGCAGCAGCGAGTGACTTAGCACCAACAGGGCCAATGTTATTGTAAGACAAATTCAATTTTGTAACAGTTGAGTTTGCTTTTAGCGCTACAGCAAGTGACTCAGCACCGGCAGGCCCAAGGTTATTGCCAGACAAATGTAAAACCGATAGAGTTGTGTTTCTTTTGAGCGCCACAGCAAGAGACTCAGCACCGGTAGGGCCAAGTTGGTTGGTAGACAAATTCAATTCTGTCAGATTTTTGTTTGTTTCAAGCGCTACAGCAATTGACTTAACACCAGTTGAGCCAAGGTTGTTGCCAGACAAATTAAACTCTGCCAAAGTTGTGTTTATTTTAAGCGATGCAAAGAGTGAATCAGCCCCAGCATGGCAAAGGTTGTTGCCAGACAAATTCAACTTTGTCAGAGTTGTGTTTCTCTTAAGCGCGGCAGCAAGAGACTCAGCTCCGGCAGGACCGAGGTTAATGCCAGACATATTTAACTCTGTCAGAGTTCTGTTTGTTTCTAGAGCCAAACCAAGAACAACTGCAGCAGCTTCATCCATCCGCTTATCACTGAGATCAACTTTGTGAACTTTAAGACTTGAGCCGAAGGATTGAGCGATATCGGTGAGGAAATTACTGTCTTCCTGTTTACATTCTTTAATGCATTCCAGTGCGACAAGTAGACTTTCTTCCGTATCTTTTTTGCTGACTTCATTTGCTACGTCGTTGATAAGAGAAACTAGACTTTCTTCCGAACTCACTGCCAATAGACCACAGGTAAATTGCAAAACCTGTCGTAGCTCGCGGAAATATTTAGTGTCAGTTACTAACATTTCAGGACTGATTTGTTTGCTAACAAGCTGGCAACAAAGATAATGTCCGGCGAAGAATTCTTGGAAACTTTTATGGGTAAAGCCGTAGCACAAAGACGGTCTTCGTCTGCTGCTTCCCGGTTGAACTGACAGAACTCCAAATCTAGGTAAGTCAGTATGTTGATTCGCGAGCTGTTTGGCACCAAAGTACATGTTGTCTTCACGTAGACAGTTCAAGGCTATCGAGCCAAGATGGCTTAATTGATCTTTGTAGAGTTCAAACATATCCTCACTGTCTACTGGTAGAGCTTTCTTTTTCCTATATCTTATGAGAACACACTGTACTATTTCCAAATACAACTGAGTTCTGCTTTCAGGTAGAATACCTTGAAAATCTTCACAAAGAAGGCAAAGAAGTGCAGTATTTAAAGGGTTAGCTATCATCTCCTGTAGGCTGCTGTCGTTTCTTAGCTTGTCAAGGAGTCCTTGGACTAGTTCTTCCTTGCCCTTAAAGAATTTCATTATGAATTCAAAAGCATCTTCTAAAGTGAATCCTTCAATCTCTAGCAGTGTATCACAAACTTTTCTTACTGGTATCCCAGCTTCGTGTCGCGCTGTAACCACCAAGTGGCATCTGGGAAGCATTCTACCTTGTATGATGTCGGTAAACTCGGGCGTCTTACTTGGGGGTAGCTCATCCAATCCATCAAGTACCAGAAGAACTTTAGATTGATTTCGACGAATGAACTCAAAAAATTTCTCTCTTTCTTCTCTTTGAACTTCACGGGGCAAAAGTTGGTCATCAATGGCTTCCCATACGTTGGACTCGACGCCAACATCACGACATTTAAGCAACAGAACCAACTCAAATTGCGGGAAGCAATCCTCTCCAACGTGTTTCTTTGTGGCCCAATCGTAAGCAATCTTATTGCAGTACGTCGTCTTTCCCATACCAGGCTTTCCTTCAATCAACACTTTCTTGGGCTGTTTGCATTCTTCGTGCGGTTGGAAGATTTTGGTCATTTCAACAACTTTTCGTGTGGCTGTCTCTCTTGCGTTTTTTCCTCTGCTAACCATAAGGAGACGTGTATAGATATCGTTAAGATGAAACTGAAAGTCTTCGCACCAAGGAAAGGGCGCGAGCCATCCCTCATGACGTTCGTACTTTTGGCGAATGTTTTCAATATGCTCTTCTGTAAGAACAACTAAAATATAGAATAAAGGAAAACAAACTCATCCTTTTATACTCAATAAAATACTATATTATTGCCTGCGGTCCTTTGATTAGAGAGACCAAGAAACAAATAAAAGAAGAGGGTCCAGAATATTATGAAAGTTTTATACAAAAAAGGTACGGCGATATAACGTTGCTGCAATTCAAGAGAAAATTGTCTAATTCCAATACAGTCGAACCTGTTTATAACGGCCACCCTCGGGACTTCAGGAACTGGCCGCTTAATACAGGATCACTAAAAATACTCATTGGGTGTGGTTTAACGTCAATGTTAGTGGTGTATCATACAAAAACACTTCATGCAAGGAAACTTCAAGCGATCAACTGGCCTTAAACAAAGTTTAGTATCAACTTGTAACTAAACGGTATACGTAACATTGTGTAAAAGTATTGTGCAATAAATTGTCCTCTACTATTCTACGGTATACAGTACTGTATTTCTATGACTTGCAGAGCGGGACATGGGGGGTACGGTATTGCGGTATTTAGCTTTTTTTAAGCGTTATTTCGGTAATTTTGATTTTAATGTGCAGTATTGCGGATAAAATAACATATTTCCGTTCAAGAGTGGCCTCTTAATGGGGGAAAAAATAACAAAGAAAGACAAAATGCGACTGCTACTGGGTGGCCGTGGCCGCTAAATAGAGGTGGCAGCCTAATACAGGTAACTTAATACCGGCCGTTTAATGCAGGGACGTTATATACAGATTTGACTGTATCATCAACAGCGTATTAGGAATCAAAACTCCTGAAGCACGGCGTATTTCTGCTACCGCATTTATTCTACTGAAACGTACCGACCCACTCCTTACCGGTAAGGCCTAACAAAAACATGACTAACAAATCACACCCAGTACTGAGTCATAAGACCCGTTGTGCATCTAAACTGTCATGAAGAAGTTTCCAGATCTGAAACTGACCTTCAGTCGGTTTTTTTGCTCTGTCTTTGCTATCCAACTTGTCCTTGATCTGTTCGATTACTTTTCTAATTTGTTCTAGGTTGTCTTTCATATTAACTGATGACAGAAAGGAGATATACTACAACGTAAATATACACCAATATTATAGTATGTTCTATCACGGTATTAAAGGGACTAACTTTAGTAAAACAAAAGATATACATGAATTAAGTTACGACCCATAAAGATACCACGTAAAATGGAAAAGCAGATATAAGCAGGGATCCGTTTCTTGAAAGTTTCGGTAACTTTTCGCCCGAAGCCATATTTTAAAATAAAAATCTGACGAATTTCAGTGCAGGTTCTAATACCGTAACCAGTCCATTTTGTTCTCTTGTTTCTCTCTCTGGTAATTATATGGTATCATTTTCAAAACTGTTAAAACTTCAATCTTAAAGTCAAACACGACAAACATTAAGCGGCCTTCCAGTCCTAGTGATTATAATTCCTGAGAATAACCTAGCCTGAGAAAAGAGTCCACATGTTGCAACATCACCGTTAACCTAACAAGAGCGAGTGAAGACCCTCAAGGGATAGCGGACTCAATGGGTTATGCTCGAACACAAATACGCCCGTTAAAAAGCACCTAGTTATTACATTGTTTCATACCTTCAAGTGTCTCAAGTTTTTCCTTGATGTTTTCTTCGTCTTTCTTCCAGTCTTTTAGCAGCTCACGGCAATGCGCCTCCACGTCTGGATCTATGCTTTCAGTCTTCAGCCTATTGATACTAGCTGCATCTACTCCCAGGGCAACCAGTGCGCCATTTATATCCTTCCACAAGGTATTAAATGTTGGATCGTCCACAGACGCCTGGATGGCATGCCCATAGACTTTATTTCTATAGTACTTCACTCTGGCTATGTTAGCCTCAACACTGGTGTCTGAACTGGGTGAAAGACTGTCCCATCCCGTAGCAGGCGGATTGAGGGGACAGATGTTCCTGAGGAGCACCATTAGAAGCGTGATGTCAAAGTCTTCTGACTTTACGGACGAAGGAGGAGAGGGATACAGCTTGTTCCATTGTGTGGCATGGATAATTTTCTTTTTGTTAAGTAACTGCAGCGTTGAAGATACTTGAGGGCTGTTCAAAACTCCATATAGAGTTGCTGGAGGATAGAAGCTGTCAAAAGTGTGCCTTAAGGCCTTGGTACCCCCGTCTAATAAAAGTCGACATAGTCTAGCATAATTTGTCGTCTCCTTGGAAAATGGGGCTAATGTCGGAGCAGACGCCATCAAGGAAGACCTTCAAGACATAATTTGGACCAATAGTCAAATAAGCTCCAAACTTTTCACCGGCGATTTTTATCAAACCTTCTGGGGAAACTGCCCACTTAACCTCCCCAAACTCAACATTTTGACCTAAAGTGAGAACAGAGTGTAAAAAATTTTGAAAAAATTAAGCAAAACCTCCAGTAGCCTCCCATGCAGACGGTTCTAGGGCTTCGTCACGCGTTCTTTCTCCACCACGAGAACGTGCACGTGGGAGGCTACAGCTTTAGACTAATCTAGAGTAAAAACTTTGGAGCTTTAGACTACCACTGCAGCCCTAAAGATAAATTTGTTATTGTCTTAGATGCATCTGCAGAATGAATAAAGGTTTTTTTGTGAGCTTTTTGTAATTAACAGCTATACGTCAGCTATAAGTGGACAAACATACTCATCAAAGATTTGAAAAAAAAATGAATATTTAAGGAACAGTTGTCATCTACAAGAGCCGTACATTTCACGAGAAGTGTGAAATCAGAACTTAAAAATTTGTAATTTCGAACATCATTATCAAAAGTGAAAAAAGTTAAATGTCAAAGTCGTTCATAAAAGGGTTAAAGCTTTAATAAATCAGATTGCATTTGTGCATGCTTCATTGTTATGCACCCGGAGTAGTCTGTCGAGGGAAACCTTTTAGCCGAAATTTCAGACGCCCATTCGACTCGAAGAAATGTCTAAAATTCAGGCTAAGAAATATTTATCTAAGGTTGTATTTCTCGTGATCTGTGCACCTGCGAGAACTGAATGTAATTAAACCGAACCACTTTTGTTATCTGTACAAATTAAGGGTTTTAGAGGGAAAGTTGTGTGTGTGATAGTTTCCACATTTCTCATTTTTCATGTTTGCTGATCAGTTGTTACTTGTTTATGTATTCTCAGCTGCACTCTGTGTACTATCCAACTTACGCCAAAAAACAATGGTGGATTTCCGTTATCGTTACCGTTAAAATCACAAAAAATCGATATACAGCAATTAAGTTTATCGATTTTCTCCGATTTCCGTTATCAATCGATCAAAATCACTTGATTGCTACCGATTTTTATCGACACCGATCTTTATCGATTGACTACTCCGGGTATGCACAATAACAAACAATATTTTCCAACAATAGATAACTTCACTCGGGCACAAAGAGGGGTGCAGTTTTACTTAAGACGGAATCCACCAGGAAATTGGAGCCAAAGATGTAATTAATCATCTGTAATAATACCAAAGAAAATTTTCTCTTGGAGCCCGAGAAAATGAACGTCAAATTTATCAAAATTACACCTTACACATTAAATTTGCAGAATTTTAACTGGGTTCTCACAATTCTTGTGAAATTTGAGATTCATTTTCTCGGACTCCCACGAGAAATTTTCTTTGGTGTTATTACAGATGACTAATTACATCTTGAGCCCTTGAAAAATTTATATAAAAAATGCAATATTCTTTAACTTATTCTGGTACAAGGTTTTTGTCCACTGAAAATTAAAATTACTCAATTTCCTGGTGGATTCCGTCTTAATCTCTTTCTCTCCAAAAAGATTCGTTTTGGCAATCGATGTTCCTTATCTGGGTGCTTGTCTAAAATACATTTGAAAATGAGGCGACATGTTAGTAGCGTTAACTTTTTATCTCTCAAACAAATGAATCTTTTTGCAAGAGAGTCTAATTATACTCTTTTTATATATATATCCCAGCCCAGGCTGAATATTCGTATTTTCCTGTCGATTTTAGGCTGAAAATATCACTGAAATATTCTTGAATTATTCTTGATTATAAATGATAGCTTATTGCATTTCCGCTTTAGACTGTATTGGGCCGGTTTCAATTACCAGTGTTAGTCTTCCGTTAAGTGAGGGGAATTTTTTCTACGGTTAAGTTAAAAACATAAATTGTACTGTATTTACAGATTTTCAAACACGAAATTGAGTCCTTTGTAAATTTTCAGCCTCGAGTTTTTTCTTAAAATTTTCTTTAAATTTCGCAAATTTCACCCTCAATATGTTTAGACAATATATTCTAACAGAAAAAATTAAAAAGAGTACATGCACCAGATATCTAATAGAATACGGAATGTCATTAATTACTTCCTGTTTTCACTTTCCATGTGCATATTTTGACAGTTCCTGTCTTTCAGTTTTAATTTCATTCAGCTGAAGTCTTTCTGCCTTAGAACATCTCTTAAAATAGAAAATGACTACGGTCGCACCTCAAGTTTTTATTAAACTCTTCGACCAAGTCAAAAATGAGTTGGAATTAAGACAACAGTAAAAAAGCGCCCGGTTACCCCTGTGGACATGGATGCTAAAGTCATGTAAAATTTTGGAAATAACTTGCCCGAAAATCCTTGGAACATGTTGCATTATAATTCCAAAAGAAACTTTGTTTTGTATAACTAGCAAATAAACCGAAATCGCTAGACTTCTGCGTTCACTCGAGGGGGTCGAAAGTAAATTCTAGGGAACAATGACAAAGCCGAAATCTGTAAGAGCGCACAAAATAACGCCCAGATTAGATTTGCTGGTGTACTAAAACTCACTGAAAAGTTATCAACATTACCTACACAAATATTTTGACACAGACCAAGGTATTGACCTGGCTCTTTGCTTCCGAAAGGCTAATAACATTTCATTACGTATTTCTAATTAAATTTATACACGCCTTTGAAGCTTGGCGCATCACAGTTCTTTTCTCTTTCGTTATCTCACCTTTTTAATGTTCGTAGCTTTTCTGAAATCTTGCTTTCGATGACCTTAAGTGGTGAGGTAGTGTAAACCAATTCAACATGGGCTAGCAGACGTTGTAGCTAGACAAGCGGAAGGCCTCTGTATTCTTCTGTATTGCCATAGCAAACAAAGCGACGTAAAATGTCGGTGTTCGAGATGAGGTAATAAAGCGAATGGAATTAATTATTGCAACCTGTGAACTGAATCCTATTGTCCTAGCAACGATCGTTTCTTCAGCGCCATTTCACGTTCCTCATGCAAACGAAACTACCTTGAAAACTGAAAGGGGTGTACGTAATATTTAGGAAATGCCAGCCTTCGTTGAAATAGAAAGATCGCGAGTTCTAGGAATCTATCAATCAATTACAAGTTATCAACATATAGCGTGTTGCCCAGCTTCCGGTCACTTTCAATTGTAAACACTGTAACTTCTTGTTGATATTGAACCTTTGTTATTTAAAATTCATTAAACTATTAATTACTCTGACGTCATTGCTTAACGGCCGAGACCCACGTCATATATGCATAGCCTTGATTACATGTTCACTGTGTTGTTCGAACGCCGGTTAGCGCTAACCCAGGGTTACATTTTAACCCGGGCTTCTTTTTATTTTCATCAAACGGATTCTCTCGGATAATTTTCTATATTTTTTTAGAGTCAAATCATCAAATTGTAGGCAAAGAGAATTAAACTGAATTTGCTTTTTACGCTCTCATATCCGAGTTCAAATTTCGTACTAGCCCCAGGAGATCTTAACCCACCTTCGAACAACCCGGCCGTGGTTTTATTTTCGAGAAACTAAGGATCTTTGTGAAACCCGGAATTCAATTCAATATGCAAAAAAAAAAACAAAAAAAAACACACACACACCAATTTTAAGAACTTTGTTTCAATCCTCTCTTGATAAATGACTGAAACTGCGTAAGGATCTGTCATTCAAGTAACTTTGAAATCATGCCAGTTTTTGGTACTGTACAGAAGTTGCCAAGCTTCCGGGTAACTGATACAAAAGAAAAGTAAACGAAAACGAAAAGGGCTACCACAAAGCCTGTCAGGTTGGCGTGGCGTGACACTGTGACAGTAGCCTGAATTTCATCCGATTGTTTCGAGTCGTTTTCTCCTCTCAGCAATTACGTTACTGAGAGAGTAATAACGACTCGAAATAATCGGATGAGATTTAGGCTACTGTCACAGTGTCACACCACGCATCTGTAACAGCCTTACAGGAGAAGAATTTTAAAAATAACTTACGGTAAATGAAAGAATATAGGGGAGTCAGTATCTGGGGGATCCAGGGGTGTCCTGGTTAGGCTTAGCCACAAGCTACCGATAAATTACCAAAAAGTTGCCCATAAAAGTGTCTAAAAGTTACTAAAAAGTTGCTTTTTTATTTTTAAAGTTGCCGAAAAGTTGCTATTTTTTTTACTTGTTTGCACTTGAAGTTGGTTTTAGCGGTTTAGATAATGAACTAATTGCTAAGATACATGTTGACTGGATCTCATATTTGAGTAGGAGAGATACACGAGAGACTTGTGGTGCTATGGCTTTTCCTATGGATTTATATTAAACTGAGTAGGCCTTACAATGGCTTATGTTGATCACTTACTCAATTGGAAGAGTAATGAATTGATGTTTGTTAGATTGAGGTCATAATGATAGAGGAAAACCGATAGAAGTGAAATAAGCTTACGTGGCTTTCTTGGAAATGAAAATCAAGTATTCCCAGAAAAAAGACAAAACAAAATGCATCCTAGCGAACTAATGATATGTGAATCCATGAAAAACCGTTGAAGCGAAAATATGATACAACCATTGGAAATAGAGATGGATTTACATGTGGAATGAGTGTAACATATACATTCCACCGTTTATTAAATTTAAACTAAAACTTTAAAGAATTCACACAATGTCTTGATTTTAGGCATGAAACTTACGTTATTAGTCATTCTTTTAACCAGTGTTATTAGCTTTCCATCTTGCGGTCGCAGTATATTTGTGGAGTGTCAACATAGAATGTCTCAGCGCTTTGTCATATTACATCAGATCTTAACACATCTCTCGTTCAACTCCTCAATAAGTTTTGAAGGGACTAAACATGCTCCCGCTAAGGTACCTACATCCTTGAAGTCTCTGTATAAGTTCCCATTTGGTACTCTCTTTCCACATGTTATCCTGCTTAAATTTTAGCCTTGTAGAATGTTGTCTTAGATATCGCATCAAAACATCCTGTCTGTTAAAGGAGAGGGAACATGTAGGACATCGATACACTTGATCATGAATGGATTTCATATGTCTCAACAGATTTCTCTTTTCAGTAAACTCGTTCCCTCAAACAAAACAAATGAAAGACATGTTTAAACTCTATAATCCTATGAGGTTTAATGAGGTTATCGAGGACTGTGGAGCTATTTTATATTGATGATTGTTTCAGCTAATATAATATTGTAGCGGGGTACCTTCCCCATCTTATGCCGCGGAGCTGGGATCCGTAGAGCCGGCTCCAGGAGCCGTAGAGCCGTGAAACCATGAAGACAACATCTTCACATCACGAACACGTTTGCTAATGTGTCTATGCATCTGCAGTCAGTGAAATTCTTTGTATCATTTCCTAGAAAGGTCTTTGTTTTTAGTATGAGTTCTAAGAAATGAGACAACAGGTTGCTTGTGTACCATTTAAAATGTAGACTGATCATTTTTTAATAGGTTAGATTTTTTCACTCATTCGTAGTTTATAAAATTCTCTTTTTCAACAACTTTTAACAGTTTACAATTCAGACCTTTTCAATTTTTATTAGGTTACGATTTAGACTTTTTCACTCATTCATAGTTTATAAAATTGTCTTTTTCACTCTTTCATAGGTTACTGTTTAGATGTACCACTCTTTACCATGTTATGACGCAGCCTTTTTCGCAGTTTAACATGAGACGATGAAGCCTTTTTTACACTCTAATCTCGTCTTTAAATTATCAAGTCAACTCAAGCTGATGTGAAGTTAGGTCTTTTCATCTTAGCATCTTCTCTGTTAACTTAAATATTTTGTTTCACGCTGTAGTGAAAGTGTGTGGAGCCCTTCATATAATGACTGTGGGAGATAAGTGAAGTGAATCCAACAATCAACTGAAAACAATCGATAAATCAATCATGGAATCAATCTTTTGACACACTTTATTAAGCATGCAGCTGGGAGATAACAACTCGAAAAAGCGTTTTACAGATAGTATTTACACAAGCCTAAGCTAGGTGTTCATCACCCTAAGATTTTATAATGTCTATAAGCTAGTGTGGTTAGATGTCTAGGTAGAAAAACTGTTTTGGAGCGGGCAAGTTTAAACGTGATAGTCACTCCGTAAATTTCAACATAGATATGACGTCAACAGGTCTATTACGCCAATATAAAAAATCTGTGGGATGTTAAAGAAACCACACACTCTTCGTAAAGAGTAGGGCACGTAGTGCCCGGTGTGGTGGTTTATCTCCCTTTCACACTCATATATTGAGGCATCATTACTTATTCCTTCACTACTTGTAAACTGCACCTTAAGCAGTCTGGCAAAGGCCCCAGTGTTGTGAATTATCCCTGAAAATCCCTGAGGGGAGTGGATAGTATGATATTTACATTTACATTTATTTACATCTTTAAAACCTGTTTAAAACTGGAAAGGAAAACAGGTTGACCCTGTTAGGAAACCAGTAGAATAACGCCATAAATAATGGATTGAAAAAGTGATGACTCAGCATTAATGGTAATCGGTGGAGGTATACATGTATAAGGGGGTGGAGGGAGTTAAATCATCATTTGCGATTAGCTCGCCTAGTGTTCACATCAACCATGAAGAAGAAAAGAAAGCTACCTGACTTAAAATGTCAACGATGCGAGGCAACCTTTACACGACTTGGTAATCTACATAGACATCAGAAACAGTGTGAGGAACAACTTGAGGTAGAATGTCCTTATTGTCTGGAAGAATGTTCCCGAAGAGATGCACGAGATCGGCATGTGAGACGGAAACATATTCAGGACCTCCCTAAACCAGTCTGCTTCTAATGTAAGACATGTGGAAAAAAGTGTATTGAAAAGCCACTTGGATTTATGCGGAGTTCAAAAAGAGAAGAATTTCAAGTGTCAGTGGCCTGGTTGTAATAAAGCGTTTACTAGGAATCAAGCACTGCAAGATCACTTTGCCTTCGACTGTCAAAGGCGTGGAGCTGGCATTAAACGAGCGGCTAAACCGGTGGAACTACCGAGCAAAAAACCCAAGACGATGGTGCCTAACGAGGAAAAAGTGGCTTTCGATGGTGCCAGTGTTGATGCTACCTTTTACCCGTAAACGAAGGAGAAGCAGAGGGATTTAAAAATATTTCTGCGAGACACCCTGGAGCGGTTGAAACAAAGGTTACAGCAACTAGTTTCTCCTAATTGAACTGAAAATTGAACAAACGTACAGCGAATACCCGTGGAGAGTCATCCAACACTTCGAGCTGGACCGTACACCTCCACCCATCCAGAAGAGTCAGAGAAACAATTAAGCATTGCTAGTGACACCTTAGAAGAGATGTTTACCCATTTCCAAGCAGGGGGCTCCGGGTGGGCTCTTGAACGGAATATTCATCTTTGCCTTAATATCGCTGAATACCAGCCCTTCCGCGGGTTCATCCTGTATCCCGCTCCCGACCATCTTCGAGAAAAAGAAAGCAGTCATCAAAATTAAAAACGAAAAGGAGTGGGCTATCCTAGCGGCTCTACATCCAGTCTCCATCCACCCAGAGCGCGAGTCATTATCGGCAGTATCGAGGTGAATTAAATTTTGAGGGTATCCAGTTTCCAGTCAGTTGCGAAGGGATAAAGAAATTTGATCGGCAGAACCTCTCCACCAGTGTCACCTTCATTGGCTATGAGGCGAAGAAAAAAGGTCAAGAGGGGGATTTATTCCCTTATTATTTACCAGATGGGAATATCAGACGCATGTAACTCTATTATTCTGGTCAGAAGGTACTACTTATCACCTTGCTTGGATCAAAAACATGAGTCGATTCCTTTCAAGTCAAACCAAGCATGATGGAGAGATGTACTATTGCGAACGATGCTTTCACGGTTTCACGCGCCAAGATTTATTAGTTAACCATGTTGAACTGTGTGCTCATCAACCTGTTCAGAGAACGGAAATGACGGATATGATATGAGGGGGTGTTTTTTAAAAGTCTCCACACGTCGGAACCTGTTCATTTCACTGTGTATGCTTATTTTGAAGCGGTCACTGTAAAAGTGCATACTTGTCAGCCTTAACCCCATTCAGTACCAAAAATAGAAGTACTGGTGGAACATCAAGCTTGTGGTTGGGCTTACACGGTCATTTCACGACATCCAAGCTATCCCAATGTCACCAAGAATTATCCCGGCGAAGATGCCGTTGGCACATTTTTCAAGGAAATGATGGACTTAGAGGAGAAGCTGCTCCCTTACCTCAAAGAAAACAAACCGATGGTAATAACAGAAGAAAAGGAGGCTTAACTTTTAGCAGCGCACGTTTATTATATTTGTAAACACCCTTTTACAGAGGAGAATAGAAAAGTTGGTGATTATGATCATGCTACGGGAGCGTACCGCTGTGCAACGCATCAAACCTGTAACCTCCAGAAACAAAAGCAGTTATTGATCCCCTTCATCTTCCACAATCTCCGTGGCTATGATGGTCATTTGTTAATGCAGGGGATCCACAAAGTGAAGAAAAAGAATCTTGATTGCATTCCCAATACCATGGAGCACTACATTTCCTTTTCAATGGGTAAACTGCAGTTCATCGACTCCTACCGGTATATGGCCAGCAGTTTGGAGAGTCTAGTCCACAACCTGGATGATATGAGTTCCCCCCTCTTACAAGACCAATTCAGAAACGTCTGCACACTAGAAGCCCTCTTAGAGGAAGTTCTACCTCTGTTGACTCAGAAAGGACATTATCCATATGCTTATATGGATAGTTTCACTAAATTTGAGGAAACCTCACTCCCACCTCAAGACGCTTTTTTCAATGACTTGACTCAAGAACCTCTAACGCAAGAAGCCTATCAGCAGGCGCAGCAAGTGTGGGAGAAGATGGGATGTCAAGATATGGGAGACGATCACAATGTGTATTTAACCACTGATACTCTCCTTCTAGAGGATGTTTTTGAAAATGTTCGAAACATCTGCTTAGCCACGTACGATTTACATTCAGCTCTTTACTAAACCGCACCTGGATTAGCTTGGTATGCAGCTCTTAAGTTAACCAACATCAAGCTCGACACCTTGACAGATATCAATCAATATTTGTTCATTGAGCAAGGATTGTGCGGGGGTATTTCCATGACCACTCATCGGTATGCGCAAGCCAACCACAGCTACCTTGATAAAAACAATCCAATGCTGCCCTTCTCCTACATTATTTAACTTGACGCGAATAATCTTTATGGGTGGGAGATGTCGCAACCAATCCCGGTCAGTTGTTTTGAATGGATGAAGGATGTGAGAGACTTCAAGGTGCAAGAGGTGTCAGGTGATAGCCCCACCGGCTACATTTTGAAAGTGGATTTGGAGTACCCACCCCATCTCCATGATACAACGATTATCTACTAGCTCCAGAACATCTCAAGATCACGTGTGAGATGACAAGCACTTACTCTCAAGCACTGGGGGAGGCCTTGCACTATCGCCACAGAAAAGTGGAGAATTTAGTACCCAATCTCCACAAAAAGGAGAAGTATATTCTCCATCACCGAAATTTGAAGTTGTACCTTGATTTGGGGATGAAACTCTCCAAGATCCATAGAGTCCTCCAGTTCAAGCAGGAGCCATGGTTGAAATAGTAAATTGATTTGAGCACGCAAATTTTCTCTCAAGCGAAGAATGGGTTTGAAAAGGACTTTTTTAAACTCATGAACAATAGCCTGTTTGGCAAAACAATGGAGAACATCTGCAAGCATGTCAATGTTGAGCTAGTCACGGAGTCTCAAAAACTGAAAAAACTGGTGGCTAAACCTACTTTCAAGGTCGCTAAGAAGTTTAATGAACATCTGGTGGGTGTGAATATGGTGAGAGAAAAGCTTTCATTCAACAAGCGCGTCTACACCGGTTTCCCCTTGTTAGACCTCTCTAAGGTTCTCATGTACCAATTCCATTACCAGTACATTCTCCCCAAGTATGCAAGCACTCATCTAAAGCTCCTCTTCACCTATACCGACAGCCTTTGCTATCAAGTCTTCACCGATGATTTCTACCGAGACATCCAACCAGACTTGGAGAAGTTTGACACGGCTGATTACCCGAAACAACATGTTCTCCACAGCCCCATGAACAAGAAGGTGATTGGGAAATTCAAGGACGAAACCAGTAGCTGCCCCATTCGGGAATTGGTAGGGTTACGTCCGAAAATGTATAGCTTCTTTCTCAAAGAAGATGGAAAGGAAAAAAAAGAAGACAGCCGAGGGTGTGAAGAATTGCATGACGGAGCGTGAAATCCGGCATGTTGATTATAAAGACTGCCTCTTCACTAAAACCCTCCAATCACACAGTATGATGCAGATTATAGGAGCGTAGATCATCAGCTGCAAGCGGCGACAGTCACTAAGACAAGCTTATCCCCTTATGATGATAAACATTATATCTTACAGTATGGTTATTCCACACTAGCTTATGGACATTACAGAATCTTAGGGTGATGAACAACCCAGCTTAGACTTGTGTAATTACTATCTGTAAAACGCTTTTTTGGGTTGCTATCTTCCAGCTGTACGCTTGATAAAGTGTGTTAATAGATTGATTCGTTTAATAGACATTGTTCTGTGATTACTTTTATCAATTGTTTTCAGTTGGTTGTTGTATTCACTCCACTTACCTTACTACACACTTTACTAGGACGTGAAACAAAAAAATATTTAAGTTAACAGAGAAGATGCTAAGACGAAAAGACCTAGCTTCACATCAGCTTGAGTTGGCTTGATAATTTGTAGGCGAGATTAGAGTGCAAAAAAAAGCTACATCGTCGTATGTTAGACGGCGAAAAAGTCTGCTTCACAGTGTGAAACGTCTAAATCGTAACCTATGAAAGAGTGAAAAAGACAATTTCATAAACTATGAATGAATGAAAAAGTCTAAATTGTAACCTTTTAAAATTCCCTTTCCTTTCTTTTGCAAAATAAACGAAAATTCCAATTTTTTTGCTGAAATAAATCGTTTGAGCACTCAAATTGTTGATAATTCTTCGAATCGAATTCCATGTATTTTCCTTCAGCGGTTCTTGTATGGACCAAAATGTGCTTTTATAGACAACTTCAAAAACTCATTAATAATTCATGAGCTGTACAACCTATCACGACCGATGAAATCACGTCACGTGCTCGTGTTTTAAACCCGGTGAAACACTGTCAAACTTTACAAATTTCATCCTCATTAGTATTCTTTATACAAAAAATACTAATAAGGGTGACATTTTATTTCATTGCACGTGACCTATGGATATTAATTATCAGCACAGCAACTGACACAACAAATGGTGGGTGAACATTTACACTGTAATGTTCTTTCAAAATAACACATGCAGTAAATTTACTATTGCAAATTATTAAACTTTGTTCTTTCACCAATTTAATCAGCTAAAAGTTCAGTGACACAGCGGTAATATTGGCTATAGCAGTGTCCAAGCGTTTCACTCAGGACTTGCCAGTTGTGAATACGCAAGGCTCGAGTACTGCATTTTTGTTTACCTACCATTCGGCCATTCCAGAAAAATTTTTTCAAAGAATACTTTTTCAGTCGAATATTTGACTTTGGGGCACCATTTTCAATTAACTTCATCTCTTCCTCAACATTTTTAGGCTTTCGAAAAGCTCTGGAATAAGACGCTATGTCCTCTTCGGTTAGTGTCGTTCGTAGACTGGAAAATTTCTAAACACGTGTGAGATTTAATTTTCTTACATAATAATTTCATACGTAATGTTTTTTTCGTATGCTAACTTCCAACGTTCACAAATGCGTTATTGTTATCACCTCCATTGAGACACGCTTTTCCAGGAATACATTTGAAGTCGTTCAATAAACTCGCGGGTCGGGTTATACATATACCCCGATAAAACCCTCCCGATCGTTAATCAAACATTACATAATCTGTCCTTCTCGCTGCAGCCATTTTGTAAGCTTGTTTTTCCCCAGGCTCATTGTTCATCAAAAAGAAAACTAGGTTGTTCTGTAAGGGGTTGATTACATGACATTAAATGAAAATGGCTGGTTTAATTTGTCGAGAACTTGCCACGTTGCTTCCTCATGGATCACTTGGTGTGATGTGATCTCCGTTTCATCATATTCCCGTGAGCCTATCAAGGCCCTGATATTCCTATACATCTGACAGGAGCCGATGGTGTCCGCCGTTGCCGAGCAACAAAACCGATAAGTAGCTACCAGCGCGCTTCCGCGTTCTCTTTTGATCACTTTTCGTTGCGCTATCGCTGCTTAATTCTTCCTATTTCTTCTTTGAATGGGGACGGCGCCACTTTTTCTACCGTGGAAGGAGAAATTACAACTGCCCCTTCTATTTTTCTTCGGACACCTGTAAATGCTCTGCGATCGGGCTGGCAGATTGATACAATATTCGACCGATGGACAATGGACTAATTAAGAGTGTGTCGATAGGAAAACCAGGTACAACCAGGCATACTGCCGCCGCCCCCCAGTAAAAATAGCCATTGTATCTGTTATATGCATAATTAAATTGCTAATTTTACGATGCAATTGTAACAAACAGAAAAGCCACCTGGAACTTAACTCCACTGAGAGATAATCTGGGTCTATAAAACATTAACCACAATAAACTATTTAAAGTTGACTTCCAGTCCGTACTGGGCAGACTCAACGGTTTGTTTTGGATTTAGTTTTGAAAACTACTTACGTTACGTACCAATTCGTGAAGTATTACATAAAAAGAAATAATGATTTTTTTTCTACCCTCATTGAGAAAAAAACATTGATTGGGAAATGGCGGCACAGCCAGGACGCGATGATATGTGGGTGTGTACATCTACTGCCTTTTGCTTAAGGGAAGCAGGAAGAAATGCCTGCCCGTGTCGTGGTGCTCAAATTTTAAAATTAGAACAGTAGACTGATCCTTACAAGGAAAAATAAAGAAAGAAAACAAAAACAAAATCGTGAATTATAATTGCCCAATATTTTGTTTTTTTCCTATCACTCTTCCTGCCGTAAGGATCAGTCTACAACAAGTGCACAAATAAGAGAGCGTTCAAATATTTGAAGTGACACGTTTCGGCCACAACTCGCCGTTCAGCAAGAAGCTTCAGGAATAACAAGACAAAATGTCGCCGGCCCGTCAGCCGGTCCTAGCTCAAACTTAAACCCACAGTCTCTGCTCCAAAACCAATTTATTTCCTTGGCACAGCCATACCAAAATTGCACCCAACATATTCAGATTGCAACAAAACATTTACACGGAAAGTATCAAGAACCGTCGCCATCAACCCGCAAACTCCGCCGAATAATAGAGAGCGATGATCGACTTAAAGCTATAACTTTTTTAATGAAATTAGCAAAGACAGTCTGAGTCCATTGCTTGTGAACGGGAAGTCTATTACATTTTAAATATGATCTGTCTTTTTATTAATCAACGGTACCAGTCTTTTTAAAACTAGATAATATTTTACTTATTGTAAACAAAAAGGAATTCTAAATGGCTCTTGTTTAGCTGATCGTAATGTAGCAACAACTTTCCATACTATAGTTTCATGCTACATCTCTATATAAAGCGAAAAGACACGCCCAGATTAACTTGGATGTAAACAAAAAGGAATTCTAAATGGCTCTTGTTTAGCTGATCGTATTGTAGCGACAACTTTCCATACTATAGTTTCATGCTACATCTCTATATAAAGCGAAAAGACACGCCCAGATTGACTTGGATAAAAATTCCAACCTTTTTCATATCGCAGTCCTTCCTCCCCGGGGGAATGGCTAAATTGCGTGCAAATGCCCTACCCTACTGGCCGGGGCTCCGGCACTACTGGTACCAGATTTGAGGGCCACTGAGGGCCAGTTATTTAAACGCAGTTTAGCCAGTGTTCAACAAAACCGCGTTCCAAGCCATTGTAAGTTTGCCCAACGCTGTTGTCTTTTATCTAAACATCATTTATCGTGAACACTTTCAATAACGGTAGCGTTGCGTTTGTTTTAAGTGCTGTAGCAAGTAACTCAGCACCGGCAGGACCAATCCTATTGAAACACAGATACAAATTTGTCAGAGTTGTGTTTGTTTTGAGCACTGTAGCAAGTGACTCAGCACCGGCAGGACCAACGTTATTGCCAGACAGATACAAATTTGTCAGAGCTGTGTTTGTTTTAAGCGCTTTAGCAAGTGACTCAGCGCCATCAGGACCAATGTTATTGCTAGAAAGATCCAAATTTGTCAGAGTTGTGTTTGTTTTAAGCGCTGTAGCAAGTGATTCAGCACCGGCCGAACCAATGTTATTGCCATAAGACAGATCCAAATTTGTCAGTGTTGTGTTTGTTTTAAGCGCTGTAGCAAGTGACTCAGCACCATCAGGACCAATGTTATTGCTAGACAGATCCAAATTTGTCAGAGTTGTGTTTGTTTTAAGCGCTGTAGCAAGTGACTCAGCACCGGCCGGACCAATGTTATTGCCATAAGACAGATCCAAATTTGTCAGAGTTGTGTTTGTCTTAAGCGCTGTAGCAAGTGACTCAGCACCGGCAGGACCAATGTTATTGCCATAAGACAGATCCAAATTTGTCAGAGCAGTATTTGTTTTAAATGCTGTAGCAAGTGACTCAGCGCCAGCAGGATCAATGTTATTGCTAGACAGAGCCAAATTTGTCAGAGTTGTGTTTGTTTTAAGTGCTGTAGCAAGTGACTCAGCACCAGCAGGACCAATGTTATTGCTATAAGACAGATCCAAATTTGTCAGAGTTGTGTTTGTTTTAAGCGCTGTAGCAAGTGACTCAGCACCGGCAGGACCAATGTTATTGCCCTGGAGATCCAAATTTGTCAGAGCTGTGTTTGTTTTAAGTGCTGTAGCAAGTGACTCAGCACCGGCAGGACCAATGTTATTGCCCTGGAGATCCAAATTTGTCAGAGTTGTGTTTGCTTCTAGCACGGCAGCAAGAACAGCAACAGCAGTTTCATCTGTAACTCTGCGATTCCGCGCCTGAGCCTGTTGAACTTCCAGAGATGCGCCAAATGTACGTGCCAAGTCTATATGAAAATAACAGTTTTCAATTTTGCATTCTTTAATGCACTCAAGTGCAACAGGTAAACATTCTAATAATGTCCCGCGAAGAATTCTTGGAAACTCTTATGCGTAAAGCCGTAGCACATACACGGTCTTCGTTTGCTGCTTCCGGGTTGAGCTGACAGAAACCCAAATCCAGGTAGGTCGGCATCTTTCTTTGAAAGCTTTTTGTCCTCAAAGTACATGTTGTCTTCATACAGGCCGTTTAAGGCTATCAAACCAAAACGTTTCAACTGATCTTTGTAGATTTCAATCAAATCCTGATCACTTTCGACTGGAAGACCTTTCTTTTTCCTGTATCTGATAAGAACACATTGTACTACTTCCACGTACAACTGAGTTCTACTTTCAGGTAAAATACCTTGAAAGTCTTCACAAAGAAGGCAAAGCAGTGCAGTGTTTAATGGGTTGGCTGTCATCTCTTTAAGCCTTTTCTCATTCTGTATTTTATCCAATAGCTTTTCGGCCAAATCTTCTTTGCCGGCAAAATATTTGAGAATAAATTCTTCGCTATCTTGATAAGTGAATCCTTCAATCTCTAGCAAAGTGTCACAAACCTTTCTTATAGGTATTCCAGCCTCGTGTCGCGCGGTAACCACAAGGTGAGATAGGGAAGCATTTTACCTTGTATGATGTCGGCAAACTCCGGCAGTTTGCTCGAAGGTAGCTCGTCCAATCCGTCAAGTATCAGTAGAAGCTTTGATTGATTTTGCCGAATGAACTCGAAGAATTTCTCTCTTTCCTTTCGGTGAATTTCACCTGGCAAAAGCTGATCATCAATGGCTTTCAAAGGTCGGACTCGATCTCGACATCACGGCATTTTAGCAAAAGGACCAATTTAAATTCCGGAAAGCAATCTCCTTCGTTTTTTATGTTTATTGCCCAGTCGTAAGCAACCTTATTGCAGTATGTCGTCTTTCCCATTCCTGGTTTTCCTTCAATCAATATTTTTTCTAGGTTGTTTGCATTCTTCGTGGGGTTTGAAGATTTCAGTCGTTTCAACAACTCTTTTCTCCGCTGTTGCTCTCGCTTTTTCTCTCTGCTGACCATACGAAGCCGTGTATAAATATCGCTTAGCTGAAACTGAAAGTCTTCGCACCAAGGAAACGGCGCGAGCCATCCCTCATGACGTTTGTAGTTCTGACGAATGATTTCAATATGCTCGTCAACCACACCAACTGCTGTGAGAATAAACGAGAAACAAACTTTGTTGTAGATATTTGTCTAAAAAACAGTTTTAGCAGACGACTGAAATTTGCGAAAATCAAGGAAAATGGACTCTGCTTATGAACTCTAGGTTAGGGTGTTTGAGGACTCTCTCGATCCCCTACTTTACCATGTAGTTGATAGAGTGTGGTGTGTGGTGCTGCAAAATAAAAAAAAAACTCGCTGAAAACTATTTTAAAAAGTTGGGCGACACCTCCATACACTTAAAACCAATATGGCCACCATGCTAGTAGGTAACCTTCGTAGATGGCATCGAAAGGGGTAGGTGATTGGGAGGAAGGGAAAAAGGGAAGGATGCGCTTTTCTTCCTCCCCCCTCCCCCTTTTGCGCCTGCCACGCAAGCTACTGATATGGCTGGCTCCAACGTCACAATCGTACGGGAAAAAAAGCGGACTATAAAAAGCCTAAAGCGTTTGTTTCTAGTTCAAGATATGTCATCCGCCATCCCACTGGCTGAAAGAATTACAATTTTAATTGAAGGCGAATAAATACAGCACTATGGGTCCTTCGATACGAAAGTGTTCTTTTGAGAGCGACACTTGTAAGACCAAGCTCAGCAATACTAGCTTTTAACAGCTATTTTAGACGGATACTTAATTTCTAGCGGGCTACAGTGTGAGGAAACTGACCTTCGACTTTGGTCAAGGAGACAAAAGTCTTCAGCGCCTCGCTGATGTGTTTTCTTGTTCTATCTGTCAGGAAGAAGAATATACTAAGCAAAACTAAACTTTCATCACACACCTTTCATTAAGGACAATTTAAAGTGGATGTCTGGAAAACTAGGAAATAGAAATCTGAAATTCAAAACAGGAACGGGAATAGCAACAGGAACCGGAAAAAGACTTCAAATAAACGATCATATTCTGGTAGGATATAAGACATAAAATACAGCTTCCTATAAAAGCAGAGATGGTTTTTAGCCAACAACGCAATAAGAACAAATAGCAATACCAAGAATTGAGATGAAAAGAATTAATCGACCGCGGGGAGACACTTCATTAACAGCCTCCAGCCGTCTTCTAGCCTTCAGATAGTGACGACGACGCCTCCATTTCAGATCAAGATGGCTGTTTTCTTTTTAAGTGATTTTGAGCGGGTGGTCAGTTCGTTTTCTGTCTATCGGAAATTTATAGACGACCACACAAGTAAATTAATAAAGTTGCCCCCGAGCTGGTATGTGAGATTTTGAAAGAAGAGGATGTGATTTGAGATATACTATAAGTTTTGAATCGAGCATGGGAACAACTAGTGGTGAGACAAATGAGGTACTTGAGCGAATCTTAAACTAATCTATGGTAGATGATTCTAACCTTTTTTAGCTATATATGTATTGTGAACGAAATGTAACGTGCGGACGTGATAGAAACTCCGGTGATGTGTAACATCTTTAAGATTTTCAGGATCGTAAGATGCAAGCGTAATTACGAAGTGAATCTAATTAACCTTTCTAAACTTTTAACACGTCACACGTTTTCATTTCCAGAATCAATGCAATCAGTTTAATGAGACCAGAGGTGGGGCTGGTACCCTTATTTGGGATGAGACGGGGGTACTACCTTCTTAATTAAAGCTATCGGCTGTCTCTTCTGGTAAACTTCACGTTGTATTACCGTACAACATATCTTTCCAACAATCCTGAAGTTTTTTTGGCAACCCAGCGCCACTGGGCGACTCGTTTAAACGTGATCCAACGCTGAAAATTAATGTATTGTCCCTCCCTTCCTTCAAGAGACGTATGGAGATAAAGGGAGGAAAAGATCGCAATCTAAGGGCGATATTGCACGGGATGATTCCCAGCGACGGTTTTGAGTGTTAAAAAACAATGTTTCGAAAACGTTTCGAATTGTCGCAACATTAATTGTTACAATATTGTTACCCGATGATTCGTCGTTGCAAATCACCTCGTGTAACATACCCTTATTGAAGCCAACGATAAATATTTCTTCGTACAAATGTTAATTTTTACGTTTTTTTTTTTTTTTTTTTTTTTTTTTTGTACAATTTATTTTAAAGTTATATGAGAATTAGAGTGCCCGTCACCTAAAATATTTTATTTTCTTGTCTGAAACTAAACCTTATTAAAATGACTTCTGCGAAAAAAATTTGCGATTTGAACCAAATACGATGTTTTTTGAATTTTTGGAAAACGTTCAAATTTACAAGGAAAGGTTACGCGAGTTCCTTAATTTACGTCACATGACGTCATCTGCGGGCCTGCTAGTTTGTGCGATCAGTGGCGGGGGTGTACCGCAAAAATGTGTAAAAAATCGCGTTTAGTTCAAATGTAAAAATTTTTTTCGCAGAAGTTATTTTAATGATGTGTAGTATCAGGTAACAAAATAAAAAATTTTAGGTGATGGGCACTTTAAATTCAGTCAACATATATGATGTCTATCTGTCCGGCTTAAATCGGTTCCCGCTTGTTATTCTGCGGCCTCTACCAGTTCCTCTTCCGCTTCCTTTTCCTATTGTTCCTTTTCCGGACTCCGGTTTTACTGAAGTTATGAAATTTCAAAGATTATTTAAGCTTCTAAGTGGCAGTTTTCTCCATACTTGTGATCATATTAGCAAAAGCTGATTGAAAGATGTAATCAAAAGAAAGGGTGTCCAAGTTATGGAATTAACATTCGGAATTGACCTTCTTCCTCCGTTATCTTCTCGCTATTTTTTTTTTCCGATTTCACTTTTTATCTGTTCTCTGAATTCATCTAAAAAGAAAATGATATGGTTTGTTTCTCACAGAACACTTAAAAAGCCATAAAATTTGAAATTCCTTTCGTTAAAACATTATTAAAGTTCGCCTGACTCAAAGAATTGTTAAATTTAGCTTCATTTCTTTGGAAACTCACCTCCATCCTCCGTAACGGAATTTCTCATAGCCCCTAGCTTCTCGCTCATGTTACCCATTTCACTTTTCATCTGCTCTCTGAGTTTAACTGAAAAAAGAAAATCAGTAAACACAAAAATCAGTGTCCAACTTGTCAGCTGAGATAATTAGCAATTATTGAATAAGGCTGAGTATGATCTGAAGAATTATGCAGATCTCGGAGAGAGTTATCCACCTGGGATTGCTTAATTCTTCAGAGCATACGAAGCCAGATCCAATAATTGCTAAAATACAACTAACTCGCCAGCAATTCGTGCACACTTTATTTGTTGCAAACAAATTTTGTTTGAATGAACAACTACTTAATTTATGTTTTTTTGTGTTAAGTTCACGTCACTGAAACTCGCTCAGTCACAGAATCACAGCCTTAAGAAGTAAAATTGAACCTGTTTGTGATTCTTCATATGTTGGTTTATGGTTGTTAAATGTGTGTGTGTTTTTTTTAAGGGAAAAGTTTATTTTGTCTAATTCTAAGCTTTCATTTCAGCCCTACCCACACCTTCTTCTAATCATATAGTAAAGTTAAGCTCGGAAAGAAGAAACCTATTTAGTACTATAAAAAACTCTTCAAAACCTTTATTAGTTAATACCTTCCATTCTATTAAGTTGGTCCTTAATGTTATCTTCGTCTTTCTTCCATTCCTTTAACAGCTCTCGGTAATGCTTCTCCAGGTCTGGATCCATAGCCTCAGTTTTTAGTTTTGTGATAGCAGCTGCATCTACACCAAGTGCAACCAGTGCGGCACTTATATCTTTCCACAATAAATTAAATGTTGGATCGTCCACGGACGCCTGCTCGGCATGCCCATAGACCGAGTTCCTATAGTACTTTACCCTGGCTATGTTAGCCTCAAAACTCGTGTCTGAAGCAGATGGCAGACTATCCCAGCCTGTGGCAGGAGCAGCCAGACCACACATGTTCCTCAGTAGCACCATCAACAGGGTGATATCAAAGTCTTCTGATGTTACAGATGAAGGGGGAGAGGGATACAGTTTACCCCATTGTGTAGCATTGATGATTCTCTTCTTTTTAAGGGATTGCAGAGTTGAATGTTCTGGAGAACCAGCTTTCAAAACGGTAAACAAGTTTGCTGGGGAGTGGAACTTGTCAAAGATGTATCTCAAGGCCTTGGTGCCTCCATCTACTAAAAGGCGACATAATCTTGCGTAATTAGTCGTCTCCTTGGTGGATGGAGCTAATGTTGGAGCAGAAGCCATCACAGTAATCCTGTAAGACATAGATCATTATAGTCAAACAGGAGCTAAAGTTTTACTTTTGTTGAAAGTTGCCAACCATCAAAAGGCCAAAAACGTTATTTTAGATTCTGAACCTAGAACTGGGAAAAGTAGTGAGAAATGAGTAAGAAGTCGTAAACTGTCCCAAATTTTCTAGTGGAAGGACTTTCAGTGGAGATTACTTTAAAGCTGTAGCAATAAACATCAAGATCAATTTTACGATTTAGGTTTTGTAATTTCTGTTTTGTTAGCGCCATTTTGAAACAAGAAAAACAGTAAGTCTGCACATTTGGAGGCAGAGGCAAGTCGCGGTAGCTAAAAAAATGTGATCAAACGCGACCACTAAGCGTTTTCTTCCGATTGAGCTAGCTATCTATTGATATCTAACTTGGAAAAGAACCCTACAGCTCCAAGAATGTTTTAAGTTTGACCTTTCGAGAGAGCGTGAGATAGGTCCTAAAATAACCGAGCTGTAAACAGAGAATTGATAATGTCCTTAAACAAATTAATTTCTTATAAATTTTCTCTTTTTTTGCAAGACTTTTCAAAAGGTACATCATGCAGAGGAGCGCTGTACAAATCATCTGTTGAATAGAATTTCAATTTATGACCGCTCTCTATCTTGCCTACTTTGCCAAAAGGAGTCGGGAGATCCTTCAATACCGTTGAGAGTGTAATTTTATAATGTCAATTTGTAGAATGATTTTTTTTTTCCCTGTGAGGCTAATTTGGTTCCACCAACTAAAAAGTCCAACCAAAAAAAACAGAAGCAAGCATTTTGACCTTACAAAGCGGGTAGGAAAAAAATCTCTTGACAAGAATCAATCAAGAGTGTTTGCACTGCTGATCGTCGATGCTCGGATTGCATTACAAACCAAACTTCCTCTTTCACTTTTGATATGCCAATTTCAACTTCCCTGTTCAGTTTCGATTTCCTTTGCTAATACTCAGTTCTCTTAATATTCGCTTTAATGAGAGACGATTAAATTCACAAACGTCTCAAGTTTTATGAATTGTCAACAAAAAAAGTCAAAGTGAGGAACCACATACATACACAAGAAATGCGTGTCTGTTACTGCTGCTACCATTTCAATTTGAATTTTCGGCAGTGGTAGTGTAACTCCGAAAGAAACTACCCAAACATTGTCACCAACAGGAGTTAAAAATGAAATAAACTAAAGAGTTCCGACAAAAGGTCGTTTAGGCTCAAGAAGGACCAAGAGAGGAGGCAAGTGAGGACGACTAAGAAATGAACTTCTCCTAACCACGAATTGATCACTTGTCTCGAAAGAACAGAACATGCAGCCTTCAAGTGCTCGGATACTGGCCAACAGCGGCTGTTTTAAGGCAAACAACTGACTGATAATTAAACTAAGAAGAAATATTTTGAGTTGCTTTTATCAGCCTTTATTATCATACCTCTTTACTTAGGAGAAACTATACCATCCTATGATCGGAACCTGCAAATGTGCTAGGACAACAACACTCTCGTTCAGCTCACCTTTTCTAAGATCTTCTAAGTGAAAGACTTTTCGTCGCTTATATGAATTATTACGCCTCAAGGTCCTTTAGGATATAAATCAATTCACCAGGCGCTAGTCAGATCAGTGGAAGGTTTGTATTCCTCTGCATTCCTGAAACAAACATGGCAATATACAGTGTTAGTGTTAGAGACGAGATGATCAGTCTAGACAGACGGTACAGTCACGCGATATCAATTATAATAATTGTCAAATACCTGCAGCCCAAACTGATGCCTCTTGTGGAAGAAAAGGTACTAAAGGCACGAATCCACGCGCATCAACTAAGGCGAGGACTTTTCCAGGGCCATTCTAGTTTCTTCAGACGCAACTACATACTTCGAAAAATAATGGGGCGTATCACCGTAGAAAGGTCACGAGTTTGGAGATGCCATCAATCAAACGCGACGTAGCGTGACCAAAGTTAAATTTAGACAAGCGACTATTCTAAGATCACGCGATGCATCTAATGTGATATTGTGAACAAGCCATAGATAATTGTATACATAATTGAAATCAAAAATCAGGCCAGACGTTAATGTGGGAATTTGGGGATAATCCGATGGGTTCCTATGGTGCCCTGATAGGTGCGTTCGTAACTTTGGAATGATCCGCCATTGGGATTTTTATTCTGCCATTAACTAGTAATTAATTTCAATTTTCATTCTGAAATAACCGAAGAAAATGGATCATAAGATTCATGATCTGCCTTCGTGTACGAGTATGTATGCGCTACTGTGGTGCATTTGCTCTCCAAGTGAAATCCTTCGAAAGGATACGTTTGCTGAAAGGCTGAATGGGCGGCTCCAAATGTTTCCTTTTTCATTGGATGGGGGAAGTACGATATTGGCAGATGCGAAGATCCGATTTCCGCCTGGTAAAATGTGTCTTTATGAATGACGGAAATTTTGCACGCCCGCTGAAATTGATCTTAAGAAAGACATCGCATTCTTATCAAGAAGCTTTGTGTAAGGAAGCTTGAGTGATAATCAGTTAAGAATATGCATTAAGGGACATTTTTTTCCTACAGGAAGTTCTGATGGTTTTCTCATCTTTCCTTCCGGCTTGTGTCGATAAACATTTTCCGGGTTAATTTGTAAATTATTCAAATTTCTATCACAACTGCAACGGCCGTATTTTCTTTAGCCGATGATTAACTCCAGTTTGTTTTTCTTGAGAAAATTGAAAATTGAAAATTGAAATCTAAACAACTTAAGGGAGGGGGAAAATGAAGGGACGAATTGAAAACAATATTGAGATGAAAAGTCACTTGATGGACCTTATAAGAAATCATTTTTTGAATAGCTACAAGTCATGTATTGAAGGCAAAATTAAATTCAGTTTTTTAAAACCCCCTCTAATTTACTCAATTTTCTTTGCCTCCTATTATTAAAGCCCAGTTCGTGAATAATTAAATGCAAGGTTAAGAGACAAAGGAAATAAATCTACCCAGGTTAAAAAATTTATTAACCTGAATTTTCTTTTCACCAACAAAATGCATGTCACATAATCCATTCCATACAAATAGCTCATACCTGTTCTATCATCTCTTGAAATGCAGTTTAACCAAACATCCCTGTGTAAGATGAACCACTGATCTCTATCAAATATGCTGAGGATTCCTGTTGCTTTCTGATGAAATAACTAAGATTAACAATTTTAATTAAAATACAGTACTGCAACTGCTATATGGTTTGGCCTTTTTAAGGAGATTTTGAGTTGGCCAGCAATATTCTGGAATTAGTTACAGTAAGGTAGTTATAGACAGGTATCATCATTCAGTGTATGAAAAAATATTCACGGGCTCCAGTGTATTTAATATAGAAACAAAACGGGAAAATAGAAATCAAATTTCTCTTGGGGAGGGGAGACAAAAAACCTTAAGTTTACAATTTGTGGGGGGCCAATAAGAGCGGTGTAGGGTTTTCTGACCTTTTGCCAGAAGTGCCTTATCCCACCATACAATGTATATCATTAAGAATGTTCCACCTATAAAAAAAAGGTTACAATTGTTCTGCCATTTTGTCGATCATCTGTTTAAGGCCTGATTTATATTGAAGTGTATATTATATTCAAGTCAACAATAATACGGCTTCCAATCATTTTGTTTGGAAAAAGATTTTCTTTACATCCAATATCTGTAGACTACATCAACATGAACAAGAATCAACAAAATGTTCTACGGTAAGAGCGTGCTTAGTTTAAAACTTAACAGAGATTGAAATTCAATTAACTCTCTCTAAGGGGGTGTTTACATGACACCGGGGCGACTTTCGCCCCGGAGCGAGTTCACTCCGGTTCCCTCTCATAGCTCTACATTTGTTCACATGATACCACCACAAAATGTCATGTTGGCGCAGCGTGAGTTCACCCCGGTTGTTGTACCGGGGCGAGAATTTCACTCTGGTACGAAATCTCGCAACGGTACTTCGGTGGAAAATCGGTCTAACGGTGGACTGGAACGGGTAGCGTATGCGTAATGTTTGCGATTTTGTATCACACGTATAATTTATTGACATGAAGTGTACATTCAAATAACGAGATATGAAATGACCCAGTCATCATGTAAACAGGATACAAAATCAAAAAGTCACCCGGTACGAAACTCGCGCCGGTGCGAATTTTCTCATGTAAACACCCCCCAACATAAACATAGTGGGAATCAGGACCAACTTTAGGGACTTGTAGGGAGCTTAGTTGCAGAAAATGACTGATCGGAAAACAGCATGGTAGGGAAGCAACCAACAGTGGCCTGGGTAAAGTGTCCCTCTTATACTATATAGGTTTCGAAAAGTGTGCTCCAGTTGATGACTGTGTTAGAATATTTGATCCTGGTAACACACATAACAAAAAAAAGAGTTCAACCCACACAAGGCACAATATTTGGTGCAGTAGATTGCTGTTGTGTTGCAGTAGTTCTAAGGTGACTGCTCTATAAAGGAATGAGGAATTATAAATCTTTTCAATGTGGTTAAATGTAATTTAGGCTAAGTTTAACACGGAACAATGCTGGCCCATGGGTGGCCAAGGGTGGGTGCAGGAGTTCACGTGTTCACAGCTCAGCTTTAGATGTCATTACACGTTTGGTTCTCGCTATTGGGCAGTTCTCACTGATTTTACCCCTACCCTGCCCATCCCCCTTGGCATGGTAAGTATGTGGTAAATATTTTACTCTCCACTGATTTTCAGTGTGACACTGCCTGGCAGTTGCTGCTCGCAGGGTTGTCATGGATACCCTGCACGTTTGCCTCTGCTTGTCTCGTGCCTCCACCCTCTATAAGCACCTTTCTCCATGCTCATCTATTGTTGATGTGTTTGATAAAATAATTAATGTCTGATTTGATGGCAAAATAGCACGAGAGTGAGAGCATGCACCTTCCAACAAAGTGAATTAGGTATCCCAGGATTGAATACTGTGGAAGTGAATCCATACATTGCATTGAGTTCTCAACCCTTTGCTTATAACCATACATTCATGACCATAAATAATAATTATCAAAATTGGGAATTTACCTATAAAAAACTACATTGACAGTAGAATCAATGAAATGGAGTAGTTTACCTCAGAATGTCATAAAATTATTTAAATGACACCATCAGTCCCCATGGTTATAATTAATAAAGCGTAAATTGAAAAGACATTAACAAAATCTCAAGAAATAGTTAGGAGTCAATCAAAACCAAGATCATGGGCTGGTGGAATGCCAATCAGACAAAAGTCCAGATTCTGGACTACAGGCAGATAGCTCCTATCACTTTACATGACCAACTCATCGTAGGCTATTATTTTATATTATATAAATTATAAAATTAGTAATAAAAAAAGAGAGCCCAAGAGACAAAACACATTGGTCTTTTTTTTACTACGATTGTAAGTGAACAACTCCTTTGAAAAACTGCACTTTATGACTTGAGGCTTCATCTGAAGACTCTGAACCAACTGTAGCCCCCTAACCCCTAACCCCCCCCCCCCCCCCCACACACACACACACACACACACACAATCGGGAGACAAGAGAGGAGGTCACAAACGTGCAAATGCCCAGCAGTTCCCAGAGGCGATCACCCAGGAGGCCGCTGGTAAGCGCATTAGGCTTAGGAATATCAACTCAAGTTCATCACCTAGGGAATAAGGTGCAGGATTGTGGAAAAAAAATTCAAAACTTCAAACATGATGGGCGAGGTAAAAATAAGGGAAGCCAAAGCAAAACTTTAGTAAGCTATGTCAAAACTACTTACTTGAACAAAGAACCGTGGAATACAGTCAACTCCCTCCAAGACGGACACCTTAGGGACCGGCACTAAGTGTCCATCTTAGAGAGATGTCTGTCTTATAAAGAGTCAAATAAAGGGACTAAACAAAGGCAGGGACCAACTCTAGGTGTCCCTTTTACAGAGGTGTCCGTCTTATAGAGGTGTCCGTTATAAGAGAGAGTCGACTGTATCTCCTATCCATGAAAAAAACTCTTCTACCCGGTATATTAATTTTTCAAAGGTTTTTAAAGTTTTCAATCGCTAAAAGGGAATGTCTAATTCTAGCTTGTTGCCCTTGACACTACCCTGCTGCGAGGCTTGATCCCTCCGAGGTTGTGGAGGGTGGGGGGACTTCCCTTTGAAAATGCTCGTCGCCTTCTTAGGGGAAGAAAATGTAAGTTTTGGGTGTTCAATATTTTTAACCATACCAACCACAGGGGTATCGTCCTATGGTTGTACGTAAATAAATATCTTAATCTAATTAAGCATAAGCCACACCCAGATTGTCAGCTTGCTTTTGGGTTTAATTCTAATTTTCCAACAAGCATCTTCGTCTCATTTTCATAAGATTCCCTCGGGGTTTTGCCCTGGATGGAACTTTACACGATCAGAACACAATATAGTCCCCGGCACCGTTTCAAGTATTGGCTTTCGATTCAGAAGGAGTACTTGGTACTTTTTGAATAAATTACTGTGCCGAAAAATCGATCGAATTTTTTATTGCAATGAGCGCTAGTTGTAGATAAACTTGCGTCCCAACGGACGTGACAAATCCTCTCTGTTATTCGTTTTTCATGGTATGCCGATTGCATTTAACCCTGTTCATACAAGAATATATGTGTAGGCCACGTGGAGTTAGACAGATATCAATCAATCTGCAAAGTGGGAGGCTACCTTTTTTCATTTTTATCCCCGGTCTTGTAGTATTCCTTTTTATTAATTGTCTTAATTTTCATGTTTCAGTCTTTCGTTCAGCATGGTAAAGGATCGCTGATGTCTCTCCAATACAAAAAGAATGAAGAGTCGTGGATGAGAGGACAACAGACGTGCCCTCTTACAATATATTTTAACATGTGAACAGTAAGCTCGGACGTCGGCACACGAAGGCGCCACTGGCAGCCGCTCTAAGTCCATTTATGAGCTTACCGTACCCACCCAGCCCATGATGTGAATGACGTGATGAGTGAAGGTTGACCACTGCACCAGGGTCTACGTCTCCTACTCTTTTCGAACAGTGGTGTGGGTTCTTTTATGTCCCACAAGAACCCGGAGAGATAAGTGTAAGTGCTGTGAGACGGGACCTACAGTTTTTCGTCCTTATCCGAGAAGACTAGAAAGTCCAACCGTTTGTAGATGTCATTGCAAAGGGAGCACTTTCTTCTCAGTTATTTAAAGACCCTGAGTGTTGGTCCGGCCAGGCTTCGAACCCGTGACCTCCCGCTCAGCAGACCGGCGTTCTCCCAATTAAGCCAACCAGGTGACAGAACCTGCTTTGCTGTTTCTGTAGACTGCAAGCTTGTCATCAGAGAAGCCATTTTATCGTCACACAAACCAAATACCCCGCCTTTAAAAACGTCACATTAACAATCATTATTATCACTACAGGCGGCCAAATGACAAACTGCCCTCTCTGAAACGCTCCTTTTCGCGGGCCAAACGGCAAAGTGCGCCCGCAACATGATTTCATGTTAAACATTCTTCCCATATGAAATAAATTTGTATGATTTGTCCTTATGTATTGATAATAATGATAATCACATGACTTTTGTCGGGCATATAGTTTATTTGTGTCCCTCGTAGCATCATTTGCACCCTCGCTCCGCTCGGGCGCAAATGATGCAACTCCAAAAGTCATGTGATTGTCCTATTCTCTAAACCAGTGCTTACGCTTCTGACTCCGCGCGCACTCCTGGCTGTCATGAGCAGAAGAGCTCTGGGGTCGAGATTGATTAGTTGACACTACAGCTGCCCCTGCTCTGTATATAGTATTCTTGCTCCTTTTGTAGCTCTTTGAAATATACCGATTCATAATGAAGATGTTCACACATATTCCATACAACAGGTGATATAAATACAGGAAATAAACGCAAGGTTTCAAGAATAGTTTATTCTAAACCATAAGAAAAGATTTAATTAAAAGTTTAATTTTTCGCTATTTCTATTTCACTTTCTACATTTAGTTCATTTCATTTGCAGGAAAGTAAGCCTTAGAAATTAAAAGGACGTTTGATAAATTCACGCTCGCGCATTCTAGTCAAACTTTATAGAGGAAGGACATC